GGTTATCTTCCTGCAGGTTGCAAACCCTCCTTCACCGTTGCTTCTCCCCGTATGCCGATTCTCCCTCTCTCTGCAGGCTCTCTAGCTAAAATCTTCTTTCGGAGCTCTTCCCTACCTTTCCTTCCTCAATTCTTTCATGCAATATTCCTTGCAGGCGTCCCTGCCGAATCTCTCTCGACAGCTAGAGTAGCCACAATTTAGATAGTAGCTAGAGCAACCCTACGAACTTCTCCCAGAGCTCCTTGTAGGCTTCGAGGTGCTTCTCCTAACCTTTTTGCCTCTTCGGGGATCTAGTTGCTTCTTCAGAGCAAGAATATCTTTATGACTTTTCAGGCGTTCCTCCACTCTTGCGACAAGAAGCAACCAAGAATCTTGTAGCTTGTGGCAGCTCAAAATTCTTCCAACTCTAAACGTGAATAGGGTTTATGACCGAATATGGAATGAAGACGTCCAGTTCTACTCTAGTCTCAGGGTTATCACATGCTCGTGTTCCCTCCAAGATCACAATCCACGTGGCAACTAAATTTTTTTGCAAAATGTTATAGGAGCTATAGGATCAGTGCCACAATTATCTGCCAACTCCATGTCATGTGTCTCTTCCATGTATTGCAACTCAATCTATAATCCCAACCCTGTGTTCTGCATTACCCTAAGTATAGTCTTCAGTGTCACTATGGTCTTGCACAAATTAGGGTCACCACAAAGCACTACTACTTTGTCTCCTTCCGGAACTTAGTTGTTAGGTGTTTTTAATTCATCTTAGTCTCTTCTAAGGATTGAACCATTTCATACCCAATATCACTTTAGTGGTCCCTAAATCCAATGGAAGAAAAAATTTCATCATCTAATTATCTTGCAGTGTTAAAATCACCTAATTACAAAGTCCTCTGCTTTTCTCTACCTGCTCTTGCAGATCGCTGGCTCCCAGCTGGTTCAAATTGAGACTGTATTGTGAGGTTCGGTCACCAAGGCAACCGATGATCCCGTTGTTGGCGTCCCAGCTAGATCCGACTATACTATGAGGTTTCGCCACGAATGCGACCAATAATCTCATCATTGGCTTTCCTGCTAGCTCGAATCGCGATTGTATTGCGAGGTTCTTTCACAAAGGCGACACAACTACAATTTCAGAATGATATGAAGCGGAGCAATGACCTCGAATGCGAACGACAAAGATTTCTAGTGGAGCAGCAACCTCAAATGCTTTGATTCTAGTTTAATAGAAACAAGAAATTTTCACGAGAAGTAGGACAAAAATAATAGATTCTATTCCCCCGATAACAAAATAAAACGATACAATCTTGAATGCATAAAAGATAAATGATTACAATTCGAGAGGTAGGCTATCTATCCTAAACCTTAACCCTAAGATTCAAGGCAAGGTGCTGGTGTAACAGAGTGCTTGTTATTTAAATGATCCACCTAAATATTTCTTCTGAGATAATTAGAGCTTCACATATTTACATTTTCAAAATCTATTAGGTTAGGCTGCACCAAAGATGTGCTTGATGAAGCCGCTTGTTGTTTTTACGTATTTCAGTTTGCATGTCATGGAATTATAACTTCACATATACATCTGATCTTTTGTGGATAACATGTATAGTTATTTAAGACTATTTTTTTGTTATGAATTTGCTTGACGTGTTAGCAGATATTTGGATGTGCGAGGGAAAAAAAAATGCTCATTTTGTATCTTTTAGGAATCTTTTTCACAGAGTTTTTTTGCACATTTTCTTTCGTTCACATTTATAATATATTATGCATATGAGATCTCTGAGCACTGGCTTCTTGAAAAATTCCATAAATTGTAAGCGATGATGAGATGTCATTAGATATGTTTAATATCTCTAGTCAATACTTCTGACTTCACGTTTACTTTTATCTACATTTAATCCTCTTTTTTAGTAATGTTTAATTCCTTATATTTTTAATCAAAGTAATTTTTGTGTTATCTTGATGTCGTTCTTTTAGTTATTTTTCTTCCCATATCTTATAATCCAATGGCCTGTTTTGTGAACTTATTAAGTATAACAGTGAAATCATTCCATAAGTTCTCTATTTTGTGACTTTAAGGTTTGGCAGCTTTAGCTATGGTTATTCTTCGCCTCATTAGAAGCCATAGGTTTTCTCATTAGAGAAGATCCTTTAAATGCAAATGTTGAGATCATGCCAAGGGTATGATTATTGCAGTACAACTTTGCTTCAAGTTACCTAAAATAATAATACAAAAAGTAAAGTTAACAAAAAATCATTATTGTCATAAGATATACCCAATTATTCAGCTCGGCTTTAGGATTTCTGATTCTCGATTTGCCAATGCTGAGTACTACATGTTGTGCCATACTTTTATTTTGCATGTTCATGTATCTAAATACTTCTTTTTACTTTTTTCATAGCCCTCTAACATTTCTTTTATCAGCCGCTCTGATTGGTGCATCTTTTGTCTTTCACCACAATTGTCCTATTGACTAAGTCTATTTTTCACTTTTTATTTTTATGGGATGCTACCACTGCCATTTATGTAATATAATCATTTATTAATCTTTTATTGCTAGCATTACCTCTCATCTATCATAGCTTCTCATTCTGCCCATGTTCAACTTAACTACCTATGGCTTCGTTACGTTCAAGACTCAGAGCTATACAATTTCGCTTGCCTACTTACATTTTATAAAATTTGAATTTATGTTTTCATCATATAGTTTTTTCATATAGCACTCTTAGTGTGAACATCTTTCTTTAGATAATGCCAGTGAAATATGATATACTATATCTAAGCATGTACGTTTTTGAACTAATTAAGATAGCCATAAGAAGATCAAAGTTGCGGAAAATAATAATCTGAATATTGGTTAGAAGAAATTGCAAAAGTGTGGGGAATTGTTTGAGCTTCATTGAGATTCTTTGACATCACTAGGCTTTTAGTCGGCGAATTCAATTATTGGAATATCATGTCAACTAGTCACTCAGTTAAATTAGCAGGCTTATATCGTGGAGGGATTTTCTTTCAACTACTTAATTAAGTTAGCAGGTTTGTACTTTGATCCGATTAGAAGAGTAGATGTTTTATATTCAACTTATTTTAAGAAATGCAGAGGTAGACCTAGGAAGATTTAGGCAGGTATAAAAATTGATCTTAATTTATTAGAACTAACTGAAGTTTGACACTGAATAGAACACAATGGAGAAAGAGGATTCATGTAGACAACCCCACTTAGTGGGATAAAGGTTTTGTTGTTGTTGTTGTTGTTGTTTGTTCCATAAAGGAAACCTTTTAAAGCATGTAATAATCACTCAAAACCACATTAAGTGTAATATGGAATGGTGGTAGAGATAAACATTCACTCTTAAGGTTTATTTGGGATGGCTGTAATTTTTTTTTGTAAATTTGATTGTAAAGCTGTTGTGGGAAAATAACTTTTTTTTTCTTAAAAAATTATTGTGGGTATTATAAATATATTTATATTTGAAAAATTGAATAGCAACTTTTTTACTATTACCGTACTTTAGGATATCTGGTTCTCAAAAGTTCTCATTCTCAAAAGTTCTCACCATGAAAACTTTTGAGAAACATAAAAAAGACAATAACCAAACAGATATGTGGTAGCAATTTTAAAAAGAAACTTGTGAGAAAACTACCTCAAATAGATCTTTTATGTTGGAACATATATGTCTGTATTTGACTCCTTTATCTTCTGTTTAAAGCCTTTGCTATTTTTGTTTATTTTTGAAAATTACATGATCTCATTTGTCTTATTGGCCCAAACAACAAACAAGCCAAGCCAATAATTTAAGTAAACAAAAAACTTCTAAACTATTCATTTATGTTGTAATATTTTGTTTTATGGCTTGAAAGAGCTTGGGTTAGCCGTTATTTTTTCATTATATTAATTATAATTCTGTATCCCGTGCATGAGACCAATTATTAGGTTTTTGTAGGCGTTTATGCTAGATTCTTACCTCTAGATATGGTTTGTGAGACTTGTTTTAATCTTGATTTGGAGTTTTAACAACTTATGTTCAAGCACTTTGTACTTTTACTTTTTACAAGTTTTCAGTGAATTTGAGCAGTTGCATATGAGATTAGAATTATTTTCAACTTAAATATGAACTAAAATAAAATAGATTTATATAGCACTATCTAATTATTTACTCTATATAAGTTTCCATTCTTCTATAGTTTTTCCTGTATACTTTATCAAGTGCATAGGATGAAATCAAGTTTGATAAAACAACATAAAATTACTTATTAGGCAAACTATAGGGCAATGATTGATTGCTGAACAATATATAAGCTTGTTCAGGAATAAGCAAGAAGTCTTATATCTTTTTGGGGCTGTTTGTTTTCGCTGAAAAAGGAAACATGCCACAG